CCCTTCCCACCTAAATGATTCTATGATAGCCCAGGGCTTGATCCACACCAGCAGAGCAATCCCAGGGGCTTTGAAAAGCCTTACTGCATGGTTCAGTGTGTGCTGGTGAAATCCAAATACACATTCTCTCCCTGCTTCTAATGTACTTTCCTTCAAACACATTTCTTGTAGCATCCTTAACATTTAGAAGGCACTTTTAAATTTGCAAATGGTGAGTATAATGTAGGATCAAACTGTTGATAACAATAACCTAATTTTATCTGCTGTTTTAGGTGGGTCCATATTGTTTGTGCCCTCTATGTTCCAGGAGTGGCATTTGGAGATATCGACAAACTGCGGCCAGTAACGCTTACCGAAATGAATTATTCAAAGTATGGAGCCAAGGTAAGTTTAGAAGAGATGTACTGCCAAAAAGTAGTTTTATTTTACATTTTTACATAAAATAAAATACATCTTCCCAAATTTTTTTTTTTATTGTTTATAGCAGTTGCAGTGAGGATTACAACTAAAAAAGAGATGCAGTTTGTTCATCTTCATCATGGTTCTTACATCTTCGCTTTTCCCTCTTTCTATTTTCCTTACTACTGTTGTCCATAATTTCTGTCACTATTTCCCTCTAATTTCCCCTATATTCTTACACAGGTACTTACTTTACTTTCTTTTAAAGTCAGTTAGTGGCAGGTTGCCAAACCGTGAAGGGAAAGTGGAGAAGGTTTATGGGATACAAAATGGAGGAATGGAAGGTTAGGTTGATTAAGGAAGTGACAGATGTACATACTCTAAGAATTATTTTAGGCTCTATGCAAATACAAGCTAGTACGCATACAGAAAGGTTGCTGCAAAGCCGTATTTAAAAAAATCCACAACAACATGGAGCCCTCAACTTGAACAGAAAAGTAGCTCTAAAATTAAAATGGCTTGGGCAGAGGACAGTGGTCAGTAATATGTTAAATACTGTTTCTGTAGCTAATGGAGACAGTGTGGAGAAGCCATATCTATCGGGGTCATGTTAGGGAAGGTGGCTGTACTGCTGCTTCATTTGTGCATAGTCAGTTTCATTTTCTGGAATGTCAGGTAAAATACTCAATTTAAATATGCAGTAAATTAAAACAAAACAAAACAAAACAAACGTATAATATATAAAATAAACCAAAACATTCCAGAATACCTGTGTGCAGCAACTGTATCAAGAGCACATTTTCAGCATGGGCCTGCTAAGACATTCAGCAGTGTTTAGAAATTTTTGTATAAAGGAAAAAAAAGAGTGAGGTCCCAAAACTCTACAGGGTGTTGTTGCAATTAATCACTCATTTGTTTATTTTATTAGCATGAGTGGTGTATAGGAGCAGGGCTAAGAATTTGGGTGTATTTTCTTACATTAATAAGGTGTAATTAAGTTGCACAAGTCTCATGACTCTTGCAGAGTCTGTTTTGTGTAGCAAGTGTAGAAGTTACAGCTTAGTTAAATTTCCCCCTGCAAAACCAGTTTAATACAATCTTTTGCACTTCGTTTCTTATCTATTATGTGTTGCTGTTACACAGCTCAAAGGTGCCCTTCTAGTGTAGTGTATGCAGTGTTTTTGGAGTTGTCAGTCACTGAGTTTTCTTTGCCATTCCTTTCTGTTGTTTAACTTTCTGCATGGAGATATTTTCTGGAGGTGATATCCAGCGTCACTCTGTATTTGGTGTGTGAGACATTAAGAAATGCACCCCTGTATCATTTTAGATCTTTATGCACTGGATAGCAGCACTGCTTAAGCATTCTATGTTCCCATTTGCTTGTTCCTACCTATGTGCTCATTGCTCTAGTTTGCTGGCACAGCAGTTTGGTGTGAATTGGTGGTTAAACAGACTGAAGAATTGGTCTGCTAAAAAATAAGTTGTTTTTTTTTTTCCAGGTCACACTAGGGGATGTCAGTTTGCTCTGTTGCAAACAGCTGTGCCTAGAACAAGTAGCTGAAGCCATAGTGCAGTAAAGTGAATCACAACCTGCTTTACTGATATTTATGATTCTTGAATAGTTCTTTTTTGCCTTGTCATGCATGTGTTCCTCAGTCATTGTTTATCAAAGGACATCTGTGGAATTATCTATGGTTTTCAGTCATCCAGAGCACTGCTGTTTTTGTTTGTCCTCTGAACTTGTTGAATAGTTGAACGTTTGCTATAATGTTGTTTATGATACCATACTTGTATAATTAATCGTGTGTGAATTGTTTGCGTGGTATTTAGTTGTTGCTCCAAAAGGGAATGCAAGACATGGAGATTCACACAGAAATTCATCCAACATGCTGTTTTGATTGGTTAAGCACTTTTCCATTGCTCGTTGAAAACAAAATCCATAGCGTGTGTTGGGAAGGTGTGAAGTTTAAGTAGTGTCAACTGTCAGTAGCATACTTGATTTCTGTACTGCACAAGAGTAAAGCTACATGTTTGATTTTTTTGTATATAAGATATAAATCATCAATATTGCGCAGAATGCACAATTTATTTACTGTGGTGTTGTATGCTGTTCTTTATGAAGGAATGCAGTTTTTGTGAAGATCCTCGTTTTGCCAGAACGGGTGTATGCATTAGTTGTGATGCTGGGATGTGCAGAGCTTACTTCCATGTGACCTGCGCTCAGAAGGAAGGCCTCCTCTCAGAAGCAGCAGCAGAAGAGGTAGCTATGGGAAGGATAGAATAAAAGGGTTGTATTGAAAGCTTGTGAAGACTACCTGAAATTGTACCTTTTTAGCTCGCTAACACTGAGAAGAGTTTTTGTAAACCAGTAGCAAGACATAGGCCCAATAAAAGTACTATCTGGGGAGGGTGCTGTTCACCAAATTGTCCAACTCTGAGCACCCTTTCACATGGCCCAGAAAAGGGGATAGAGAAGAGTAACACAGAAGTTGGCTTAACAGACCATCACTCAATACAGACATGAATTCTAACTCTAATTCTTGAACTTCTCCTAGGTTAACATACTTACCTACCTCTTTTTGTAGTATAATAATTTCTGTTTCATATAAAATAGGATTGTCTTGAGAAATTAACTACATTTCTAACAGTCTTTTCATGCCTATTTTCCAGTATTTTCTTCAAATTGCAATACAGGTATATGACTTCCCTTGTGAGAACATTAATCTTAGGAATCAGGATGAAAGCAAACATTTATAATCCGCTGATAACTATTTAATATCTGTTCTTGCCAGTTTTCTCCCTGTAATATGATTAATGCATTTTAGATTTGAAACTTCTACTTTCAAATTCATTTTTGCGGTATGAGTACTGTTGGATTGCCGATTCCTGATATGTATAATTTTGATTAAGCCTGTCATGTTCATAGCTGTACAGTTTAACTTCTTATTGCCTTAGGAGGTACCACAGGTAACACACAAACAAGCATAACTTGCAGTATTGACACTGGCACTTTGTTTCTCAACACAGTGGACCACTAAGTGATTTTTAAAGGAATCACAAAACATTTTCTTCAGTGAGCTTGATAAATAGGCATTTTGCTACATGTTTACTGTAACAATAATATTTTTAATCAAAGGCGCTCACAACCTAATTTTAGGGTGCTGCTCATTTTTGGAAACAATTTGTCAAACACTGAAAATCTAAATCAAAACATGTTTCTAAGGAAAGCTTGTGTAGATTTTATTGGCCTCTATTTTATAGATGGAGTAAAAGAATATTTGATGTGCAAATTATTTACTTATTTTTGTTTTACTTTATGAAGGGAGACTGCTTTAAGGTTTTCTTCTTAGTCTGTAGATTTGTGATGTTTCTACACTTTCTAAAGTATACTGGCAAAGAAATGTACTTCTCAGACCCTGTCTCCTTATGACTCAGATATTTGTAGTCTGCTTCCAAGGTTTGCAAGTGTTAAAAATCGCTGTAACCTTATGGCCCTCATAATGTGCAGAACTGATGGAGCAAAGAATAAAAAATGGAAAAAAACACGCTCTGAGAGATGATAAATCATGTGGGATTATAGCCGCCAAAACCATTCGGAAAGTCTTTTGAGAAACTCAAATATATTGTCTTTTGTATTATGCAGAATTGTTACTCTCTTGTTAAGATATAATGCAAAAGACACAGTGAAGCAAGAGGAAATTAACAATACATATCATATGTTAAAGGGATTTATACTTAGGAGTTTCTTCTGATTTTTATGAGAATGAGTTTGAAAGGTAGAGCATTAAATAGTGAATGTGTTTAAAGATGTTTAGGGTCACACAATGAAAAAACAATTTATATGGTGATTTACATCAACATGATAAAATTAATTTAGGAACATAATACGTATTGTTCTTTAAAACATGTCCATTTGAACGTGTGAATGCTAGAATGTTTGTGCTTTTTCAGAGCCTTTTGGACTTGTATGTCTTACTTTATTTTTTGTTCCTTTCCCTTTGTTTTCTCTGAAACAGGATATAGCTGACCCTTTTTTTGCTTATTGTAAACAGCACGCAGACAGGTTAGACAGAAAATGGAAACGGAAGAACTACCTGGCATTACAATCTTACTGTAAAATGTCTTTGCAGGAAAGAGAAAAACAGCTCTCCCCAGAAGCTCAGGTATTGTATTCATGGTACAAATATGTCTGTATTCATCATCCTTGTTAAACAAGAAGGAAATGAAGAGGATGGGGAATTATTTTTAAAGTAGGAAATGAAATGTGCATGGTCATTGCACAAAGTAGTGAATGATTTTTAGGTTTTAGTCTCTCAAGAACAATTCTCGATAAACATTATCAAATGTGGATATCTATGCTTGTCTGAAGCGAAAAATCTTACTTTGTGGCATGAAGTTAGCAATTACATTTTCATTGTAATGTGTAGATTCTGAACAATTATTTCTTCACAATCCTTAACAAAAAATGACAGCCAGACAATAAGTTAGGCATATTTCTATGTCCTCGTTCAGTAAAAATATAATATTTACTTTACCAAGTTGTTGAACTTGGCAGAAGAGTCTAGTTGGCCTTAAGTTTTTTCTTGCTACATCCTTTTCACTTTTTGCAGGCCTCAGTAGAAGTCTGTGTTCTGGGTTTTTTCATAGTAAAGATTTTGTAGGAAAAAAAAATATGTAAGTAGAGAAACTGACTTGCTCTTGGCGAGTGGGAGTTATCTGAAAATCTTAGGCAATGCCTACATTCCTGTTCAGTGGGTCAACTGATAAATGTCTTATTGAAAGAAAGGTTTCAGTCCTCCTGAGGGGATCTATGTGCTTTGATATGTTTTAATGTGTGTATTTTTTTTTTTTTTTTTTCTGGTTCTGAGGAATTTATGGCATACTTTGCTTTCGCTGCTTAGGCTGAATTGCATTCTATGAAAAAATCATACCTGTTTAGAAGAGCAGCTTGTTATCTGAGTGAATCCTGACTAATTTGTTGTAGGGAGTGGCAGATGCTATAAAGAATGGAAGGCAGTTATGGGAGAGAAATTACTGCTTGTTTTCTGAAGGGAGAACTGTAGTATAATGGTCAGAAAATAAATTTTCATATCATCAAACTTAATTTACATAAAAATGTCATACCATAGTTCTTCCAAGATCTTTGAATAGGAGAACGTTAATTTTAAATAACCTGTGCAGTTGAAAATTAATATGAGCAAACTATATCAGATATAGAAGATTTCTGAATAAAGTATTTTTATGGGTTATTGAGCTTTGTGTAGCTTGATTTAAAACTTGTTACATCATTCTTGCTGAATACGCTCAGCTCTAAATTATGTGAAATGCACTTAAGTAATGGAGAAATCACAATAATATGAATACTACCCAACATAATGGTAACTGCTGGTTGTGCAAAATAAGTTTGTGTTCAACAGGGCTTACTAGCTCTATTTTCAAGCATTTGTTATACAGCACTGATAATGTTGACAAGTCCCCAGCATTTCCCTCTCTTCCTCCTCTTTATTCCAAACCAAGACCCTGCAAATTTTTTTTTTTAATCTAAATTATTTGGATTAAATGTTTGGAAACTGAAGGAATGAATGCTGAAAACTGTAGACGGGAGTTACTTGACATGGTCATAGGCACCTTGATACCAATTTAATAACTTGTCTACATATTGTAAAACTAAATATTTCAGTATTGATGGCTCTGGTATTGTATGAATTTGCATTAGTATTGTGTGTGTGCCCAACTTTACATGGATGAAACAGATTGGAAGCTTGAGGAGTGCATTTCCATGTCCAGTTTTATGTATTGGGATTTTATGAAGTAATTTTTTGTCTGTGAGTGGTTTCTGTGAAGGGGTACTTAATGCATACTAGAAATGTCTGACTGAGGAGTTGACACAAAGTACTTATGACTTCACACCTTACCTTACTGTGTGCTGTCTCCAGGACGAAGTTAAAATCCCACCAGTAAACTCAACCTTAGAATCATAGAATCCTTTAGGTTGGAAGAGACCTTCAAGATCATTAAGTCCAACCAACCTTCAGCTATCTTTGTTAATTCAGGATTTTGTCTGAGAAAAAAGAATCTTGAGATAGCTTAATTTGGAAAAAAAGATTAAGAAGTAAACGTATGTATATGCATTTTTATTTTTATATATATATATAAAAATATATGTGTACATACAAAGCTTACTTCCAGGAGAGCTTGCAGCTTTAAGTAAGGTTTGGAAACATTGAGCTAACATAAATAAGTATGCAGTTGTACAAATAATCTGTCTGGTATTGTGAAAGTGGATATTTGAGACACACTTTTGAAGAAGAAAAAAAAAAAGGTTATTTGTTGGAAAATGTTCTACATGGATGTTCTACTTTTTTATATCAATAAAGGAAATGTACATTTCTTGAGTAAAGCGTGTTCTTGAAAACAGCTTAAATCCAAGTAACTTGAGTTCAGGATTCCATTTAGACATTAGTCATTTTAATCTGCCCTCTGGAATACGGCTCTGTGTGTACAGTTCTGTGATGTCTTAAATAACCCCAAGGGTTTCAAAACTGAGCATGTGATCAGTAAAGAAGCATCTTAGCTGAGGAAGCTATAAACCATTCTTGGTCATTCCAGTGGAGAATGAAATGAGGCAGTAGCTGTTGGCTGTAGGTGGATGTGTTGCTTACTACTTTCCGTTCAAGAAAAAAGCCCTTGGAGTCAGAGCTGGCCAGCAAGCCACACATGTTCCATTTCTTGCTGGTTGTTCAAGACTTAGTAAGGTATTACACTGTAATAATACCTCCAAGATTCTGTTTGTAATCTGAGATGTTCCTTAACTATAATGTGTATATATATATATGCACGTTTGCTTTTATCTCAGGAGTATCTCATACCATATGGTGGGGCAGCTGGATTAGTTTAGTTTCTTCTTTCTGCAGGCAAGTAAACATCTTCTAACTGATAGTCAGCTGGACCTTTTCCTCTGAAGGTTAGTACATTGATGCCATTTTCTGCCAGGATTGCCACTACGTAGAGTTCATGCAAGACAGTGTTTTCCAACTGTCAGTAACAACTTGATCTTCTGGGCTGAGTCTCCTGGATGGTTACAAATATTCAGATGTCATTAACAATATATATTGTGAGCTTCTCTTGCCTACTTCATTTTTGTTTGGGTTGTGTTTTTGGCCCATCAGAATCAGCTAGTTTAACATTTATAAAGGGATATTGTATTGAGAAAGGAGTTCCTATGAAATGATGTCAAATACAGAAAAAAATGCTCTTCATGAACTTTACTCACGTAGGTACAACTTTACAGTGTATATGAATGTATTTTTGATAGGTCAGCGAAGACTTTTCTCAGTAGTGAGTTTTCACAGTCCCATCAAATTATCATTAATAGAAGGGATTGTCTGAAAACCAGCAATCATTTGTGTTACTTTCATTTGCAGGGAAATCTCATCAAAAAACCTGTGCATACCTCCAAAAAAGAATGAAAGGAGAATGTTGTGTATGCATTTTGAAGTAAAATCAAATGCCTGTGTCAGTGGCTATTTCTTGGCTTACAGCGTTCCAGAATGAAAATGGCATTGATTGTATCATGCAGCTTTTAAAATGACAGTAAAACACAGATGTGTTCCAAAAGGATATAATTCAAAACAAATTTTGATTTGGTCCCTTACGTTTTTTATTTGTGGAATTCTTTATTGCAGGCTCGAATCAATGCCAGGCTGCAGCAGTATCGCGCCAAGGCAGAGCTGGCCCGCACCACAAGACCACAGGCCTGGGTGCCCAGGGAGAAGCTACCACGACCACTTACTAGCAGTGCTTCAGCCATACGGAAGCTTATGCGCAAGGCCGAGTTAATGGGAATTAGTACAGACATTTTTCCTGTGGATACTTCGGATACTAGTTCCAGTGTCGATGGAAGAAGAAAACATAAACAACCAGCTCTTACTGCTGATTTTGTGAATTACTACCTTGGTAAGGATGAAAATTTCATATTTTCTCAATGAAAACTTAACCACTTTCCTGTATTTGTACTGTGCTGGCTAGCTGATTGGTGTTTGGGTTTGGTTTGGTTTGGTTTGGTTTTGTGTGTGTGTGCGCTTTTTTGTTTTTTTGTTTTTTTTTTTTTAATTTAAATATACTTGTTTTTAACAGATGAGTTCATTTTAAGTCAGTTGTATTGTTGCTTGATTTCTCTACTTACACAGAAAGTTTTTTTTAAAAAAAAAAAAACACGAACATTTCAGAAAGGAAGAAAATCTTTCAAAGGTAAACAGGGGGCTAAACTGTCTTTGTTAAGAAAGGAGTGGAAGCTTATGTACCTTTGACTTTTTTTTTTTTCCCCTTAACATTTTCTTCCATTGCTATTCCACATAGAATGACTTTGGGGATGTTCAGTAGATGGCTGATCAAAGCACACCATTTAAATAACTAAACTGTTTATGTAGCAGAATATAAATATTATGACTGTTCAAAGTACTCAATCTCTCTAATAAATCTATAGGCTATAGTTTTGTGGTTTTGTGTTTTATGGTTCTATGCTATTCATTGCTTCACTTTTTTCAGTGCATAAAACTTGAAAATGTAGCCAAGAACAGGAAATAATGCAATTTTCTTTTCAATAGAGAGAAATATGCGCATGATTCAAATCCAGGAGAATATGGCTGAACAGAAGAACATAAAGGATAAATTAGAAAATGAGCAAGAAAAGCTTCATGTCGAGTATAATAAGGTGAAGAAATGGTGATAATAAACTATTGTACTGTTTTAGTATTGCTGCTGTTAACTTCGATAGCATTTTGCTTTCCAAACAAAATGACTTGGAAAGATGTGAACTGTATCTTGAAAAGTAATACTAAAAAAAAGATATTTCTGCTTTTTAAAAAAAATATTCTGAGGTCCATCCCCCCCATACAGGTAGAATCAACTTCAAAAATGTCATATATTGGCTGGTCATGATTTTTTTCACTGACTGCCCTGAGAGTTCCAGTAAGAAATATGGACAAATTGACAGACAGGTCCCTGTTATGAGTCAACTGTGTCTTAAGGCCCTTCTTTTTTTTCATGCTTTTCATTTGAGACTTTGAGGCAACAGAGTTTGACCACCTCACCCTCGCCTCTCTCTGGTTTTTTGTTTGTTTGTTTTGGTTGTGTGTAGTTCTTAGGTTCCTTCTGAGCCTGCTTGATTCTCTGCTTCAGTCTCAACTTGGTAATTGGGAATGTAGGATTGTTGGAAGTATTGTTTATTTATGTCAGCTCCAAGTCTCTAATATTGTTCATCTTAGATTTAACGACTTGGCTAATTTTTCAGGCTGAAGTAATCAGTATTCATATATCCATAGTGGCCTCTGTGTGTTTTGTTTGAGTATAGGAAATTTGGGGCCCATAAAAGATGATATCACTCCCCCAAAATGTTACCAACATAATTTTTATTAACTCATCATAATGGTTCAAAAAGCATTTTGTGCTTTAGTTGAATTTCTACTAATTTTTTTATTTATTTTAATCTTTAAATATTTTTGAGTGGAAGAGAAATACTTTTTTTTTTTTTTTTGTGACAGTGACATGCTGCAATTCTTGCTGGATTCAGCAACTTATCAAGTGATGGTTAGTGGTGACAAAAAGCAGTGTTGCTATTCTTAAACTGTTGGGTGTGTGCTTTAAATGAGAACATAATGAAATGAAACAGGAGGTCCTTGTGAATTGCCCAAAGATGAGAAAAGTGAAGGAGATTGTGCATGGGGCTTTTAATGAAATGAATAGGTTGTACATGTTGGGTGGTACTTAACAGTTATTTCCAGAAGAAGGAAAAAAAAAAAATTGCTTACATCCTTTAATAAATATCTTTTCGTTTGAGAGTGAGTGTTCTTTGGTAAGGTAATATAAATGAATTAAAGGTCTACATGGTTACTTGTTAGAATCTGGCTGCTGAAGTAGTATGGACAATGCATAAAAGATTATTGATATATTTTAGTTGTGCTTTCTAATAGACTTCAATGAAGCCTTATTTTTATGCTGAAATACTTCAGATCTTTCTTACAAAACAGGGCTGCCCAGGTTTTCATCTTAGTTCTGTTAAATTGCTGAATAATTGCGCTGGTCTCAGCTATATTGACAGGAATTCCATTGTCTTTTTTAATCTTACAATAAAGTAACGCACCTTAGATAGGTAAGGGGTTGAATAATTAATAAATCCTAATGGATTTTTATTCCTGATGATATTTTTCTTTAACTTATCAGCTGTGTGAGTCCTTGGAAGAGCTACAAAATATGAATGGAAAACTGCGAAATGAAGGTCAAAGCATCTGGGCTCTACTGGGTAGAATCATTGGACAGGTTGGTTGAGGATATTTTTTTTCCTCCTCTTTATAGTTCTTAATAGACCTGGTTTTCCAAGAATTTGGATTTTTTTTTTTTTTTTTCAAAATTCTATTTTTTTTGAAAAAATATTTGCAAAATTCCTTCATTTGGTAGAACTGATTGACCTGTCATTTGTGATGAACATGAACATGAAGCATGAGTTAATCCTGCCATTTTTGTCTCCACATTGTCTTTAGTTACTTAGGCTTCAAATTATATTGCACCTCTTCATGGCTTTTATAAGATACTAATTTTTAAAACTACAGTATGTGTGTTTTTAACTGGACAGAGCAGAGTATTTTGGTCAAATGAATGCAAATACCTAGAAGAGAAGGTTTGGATTGCTTCCTATTGCCAGCAATTACCTCTGTTCTCATTGATACAGATGCAGAAAAGAGAGAAGTGTAGATTCTTGCCGTGTTTTAATACATGTCTTATGTCAGAGTGATTAAATGCACATTTTAGATCTCAGAGAGAGAGAGCTTGAAGTGATTTCCAATGAAAAGTTTTAAGGAAGATTGAAGAAATTCCACTGTGAAAATGCAGACTTACTATTAGGTCACAATTTTGTTGTGCCCTTTAGTACTGATGAGTTTGTGCTGCTGTTCAGAAAATGAAGCTTACTCTTTCTTTATGCCGTGGTGGTGCTTAAGATATTCTAGCTTTTTGTAGTTTTATTTGTGTGCCTATCTTTCCTACTTGCAAAAAAGGATTCTCACACAATGTTTCTGTTGAATCAAGGTAATGTTTAACCCTCTTTTTAAGATGGCTTTGAGTAAGTATTCACAAATACATTTTCTCATGCAAATATGACTAAATTTAGGAAAAAAAAACCAAACGTAAAGTCGAGTAGAATTCATTTACACAGCTTGCATGACATTTTTTTTTTCCAGTTGATTGAACAGGTGCAGACCCATGGGGCTGCTGAGAAATGACTTTGATAGATGGTTGCTGTCTGAGAAGCTAGCATACTGCAGATTAGTAGAAACCCAAAGAGAATCTCATCTGCTTTGTGGAGGACTTGGTCCAATAAGATAATTTTTATAATTAACCTATTGAGCACCAGTGTAGCAAACATGTTGGGGAAAATAAACTACCTCAGTATCCTTCTGTCAGTTTTGTGTATTTGCCTTCTCTTGTTTCAGCTGCCTAGGCAAATGCATCTTTGTCCATCCCTCTCTTTGAAGCTTGAAGAAAAAAATGAAAAGCTAGTATTTCAATGTGTGCTTTATTTACTGATTTGAAAAAAAATTAGTATAATATCACTTTATATTGCAAAATTGTGCGGAGATAAACATCTGTAGTTACTCTTGTCTGTAAAATAGCTAGCTAAGCAATTCACTCTCATAACTTGAGTCTTGTATTTCATGCATTGAGATTGGAGTGGTATTCTTTAAAAGTCTCAAGATTCATGTTGTACTGCATTTGTTCAAATCCAATAGAAATTGAACATACCAGCAATTTTACGTGCTCCAAAGGAAAGGAAACCAAGTAAAAAGGAAGGAGGAACACAAAAGACATCTGCACTTCCAGCTGTACTTTATAGGCAAGTAATGAAGTCTTGACAGATTAGAGACAGTATTCAGTAAGCTACAATTTTCACAAAAGTGTTAAGAGAAAATTGGTTCAATTTTGATTAACAAAGTGCTTCAGAGTTGTTTATATATTTTTCTTCTGAAGGCTAAGTTGAATAGTAGACAATATTTCACCTTAGCACACATCAGTAAGCTTTGAAGGTTTTTTTACTAGTTTGACAACAGTGTTTTAAAGACAAAGGTAACTCTTCACAGCTTAATGTCTCTGTTTAAGGGCTCAGGGCAGGACCCCACGGAGCAGAATTTGTGCTTCCACTCCCTATCCCTTAGTTTCCCCAGATGGAAAGAAAAACAAGGGAAGTCAGGAGTAAGAGAGGCTTTGCACCGATTGGAAGTTAATAAAAATAAAGTATATTATTTAACAGGGAACAGAAAGCAAGAAGGGAATTAAATATATATATACATACACAAAGATGGGGGAAAACAAAGTAGATACAAGCTATACCAAACCTGATCTCAGATGGCGCAGGGTTGCTCGGAATCGTGTGGGTGCAGCCCCACTGTGCTCTCCCGCACTGGAGCACCCATCTCCTGCCTCTTCTATAGAGTGTGGGCAGGAAGGGGGAGGGAATAATCACTCCCCCCCCTGGGACCCTCAGGGTCCTAGAAATCACCTGTCCCGCCTCCCCCAAGCCTCGAACCACAACACTGAAATAGAGAGATCTTTTGTCTCTGTGATGTGAAAATTTTTAACTGGTCATCTCATCTTTTGAATGCAGTTGTCTGTGTTGACAATTTTGCAAACAGTGATGATGCTGTTTAGTCACAGTGGCTGGTGCATAAAACATTTGTCATATAAGAATTTTTTCCTTCTGCCCATGGCAGACCTTTGGGATGTCTTGTATTTTAAATGTCCCTACTTCTCTTTCTATTAACTCACAAGAAAATTAAAGGTATTCACTTATTCTGTCCTTGTTCCACCTTTTCACCTCTTCTTTAAGTTCAGAAGCTACCAACTGGGTTTTAACTAAGCCCAGTACTAGGGTCGCAGAGCATGACTGTGCAAAATATACATATCATCTTGGATCATCTTCTTTTGCCACCATCTGTGAAGCGGCGTGGTCTGTTGCTTCTCTAGAGAGCAGCAGCCAGGCCTTCAGCCACACCAAGTGGGCAGTATCTTGCCCAGCTAGCAGGCTAAATGAAAAAGATGGGTTGTACAAGCAAAAGTTAGTCCTAGTGCTGAGAGGGAGAAATCTTGAAAGCATGGCAGTGGAATGAGGATTTGGCAATTTAGATGTATATACAAACAAAAAATAGTTCTGCTTTAACAGTTCTGTTTGTTTCAAATCCAGTCATTTAGTTTCTCCCGTTTTGTAACAGAATCAATGAGCACATGATCTCTTTGAAATAATTAAAATTTCAATTGCTATAAAATAATAGTGATAATAAAAAGGAAGTGTAATTTCTTCTGAGTTGATACATTGCCCAACATAATAGCAGCACAGACTTATTTCAGTGTGCTTACATTATTAAAATGAGCATGTGACTGTTAAGCCTCATAATAGCTGCATAATCTTCTATTTAAGCATTTGGATGGCCCAGGTAGTATTTTTTTTCCATTTGCCACTGGTACATTTTATTGAAGTATCAAGTGATTATTCACTGGTTAGAAGTCCTCAAAAAAATAGAGAAAGTAATTTTGTTGTCTATATTAGATGTCTTTTATGCTTTACTATGTAGAGGTAGAATCTCCTTGAAAAGTAATTATGCATTTAAATGATGCATTCAAAATGAAGTGGCCACATGATTGTATTGAAACTGGGGAATGTGCTGGGATGTATCATTTATTCCTTAGGATTTCAAATGTAGTTACAATGCTTTTCTACTACCTACATTAAAAGTTGTGGAATTTGCAAGAAGAACCATGATCAACACCTACTGCTACTGTGTGATACTTGTAAACTTCATTATCATCTTGGTTGCCTGGATCCACCTCTTACAAGAATGCCAAGAAAGACCAAGAATAGTTACTGGTAAGAATGCAGTGGATGTGTTGTCTTGTGCTATCTCTGTACTTAAAGTAGGATGTAAATATGAATAGACTACCAATTGCTAAGTGTTTTAGACATTGTTATAATGTGGTCTGAAGTAAGTTATTTTATTTTTTAGGGATTATTTTCAGCAGTGATATTTCAAGCAAAAAAAAATTCATCATTAGCCACTGTGTAGAATTAGAGTATAGCTTTAATTTTCTTAGCTATTGAGTTCATTTGTGATTATTAATGCCACTATATAATAATGGTAAAAAAATAATATTCTGCCTTCAGGAAGTGAAAGACTTGGTCTTCTGTTTATCTTAGGACCCCAGATAGGCAACAGAATTTTTAGGAGAATACTTGTAAATACTTAAAAATTTGATTTGTTAATCAGTTTATTGCAGTATGGGAAATCCATTTGTTTTACATATGGCTAACCATACTGCAGTTACGTTTCCATGAATTAAAATTCCTTTTGTACTGATAGAGCAGAGCAAAAGCCAAGTGGTACAACAGAGAACTGATAACATAGTAAAGGTGCTGCTTTCTAAACTGTTATAAAATTAGTGCGCTCCTGTGTTGTGTTAGTGTTCTGGATGTTTCTAAACTGGTCTGAAATGTTTTAGAAGCAGTTTGTATCTGGCAAGAAGTTGGTGTACAGCATCTCCAGGATACATCATCACTTTGTCTGAATGATCATTAAGAATTAATAATCAGAACAGTCTAATAATTTCTTCTAAAAATACAGTAAAACTATTTTAATCAAGAAAAGTTAGTTTCTGGTTTTTTTGGTTTTTTTTGTTTTTTTTTCATATATTTTGGGATTTTTGTTTGTTAGTTTTAAACTTCCATAAAACATTTACTTAAGTCATCTTTTTGGATAGTTTTGGTGATTGTGTGCAGAGCAAGCTCATGGCTACATGGAGTGGGAGGTCTCTTTCTTTTTATATCTTAACATGACAAAACCTGAATTTAACCCAGTAAATTCAAGTTAATAGTTTAAAAGACATTTTCTTTAAAAGCTGAAAATCTCAAAGGTTTTCACCATTGCTCGTATTTTTCTGAACGTGATTTTCCTTTAATTATTTAATATATTCTGTGATTTTTGGACTTTTCATTATTTCAAGGGGATTTTGAGCACATTGGTCAAATTTACCAAGTGGTTGTTACATGTAGAACATTTTTTATTGGCTTTTTGGTAGCTTCTGCATTTGCACAAAAAAATTCTCGATTTTTATTCTGCTATTTAACCATTCAATCCAAAAGATGTAAGACTACAATTCCTAGTAGATGTTAGAGGCAGAAAAGGTCAGGTTAGGTAGTAAAATGCTTTTATTTCAAAGCTATAACTTATCTTTGTTGTGAATTTCATGCTTCAGTTTTATCTAAGATCACAACTTAGCTTTTACTTCTAATTAGCTGAGGCATATTCTGGAATGTGAGATTATAGCAGACGAATTGAGCTATATTGATTGCATTCTTTTCATCATTGAACATGCCTTTATGTATTCTATTCAGGATCACCTAGAGAGCATAGAGAATGGACCCTTAATCTAAGCTTGAGTTCATCGGGTTTTTCCACCCCTGCTATTTTGAATACAATTTCCATCTTTTGATTAAGCTATGAAGAATAATGTGAATTTTTTTTTTTTTTTTGAGGGCCACGTACTTTTCAGATATTTATATAGGATACAATACGAAGTTCTGTAAAAAGATAATGTAAGAAAATGGAAATTTTTTTTTACTATCTAGTGGGAAATTCCTTGAAACATTAGGCAGGTTGAAAGACTTTAGATAAAGTTGTTAAAAATGTTTACTTTAGTCTTTTAAAATAGTAAGCAGGAAACAGTTAAAAATAGTTATTTCTTAATTTTTACTCTGTATTCCATTATCACTTATAATCATTTACTCGGAACTGCTAAATTGAGCCTTTGCAAAAGGCTTGGTGATTGTAGAGTCATATACTTTTTCAATACTTTTAAATTTAAACTTTGGGCAGTTTTGCATGAATTTATTCAGTGTGCTTCATATTTTATACTGTTGGAGGATGCCAAATGATTCAGTTTGTGTTTGATGCTATGTAGATTAGTTAATAGTTCTACTTTATGTCCATTTAATGCCCAGTATTTAATAGAAATTTAAATTACAGTATTCAAAAAAGGTTTTTGAAATTTTTTAAATAAAGCCACTACTAGGGGCAATGGTAAGGGGGGGGGAAAAAAGAACATTTCTATATTTAAAAGCTAACTTGTTAAAGAAAACAAATTATAGTTATCGCAATGTTTTTAAACATAAAAAGGAGGTAATGATTTTAGTCATACTGAAATCAGAGTAAGAGTTTTAGACCTGATGAGCACCAGTGTCACACAGCTTGTTAGAAACTGGTTTCAAGCAGTCAACAGTTAAGAATTTCCCCAGTTCAGAGACCTGACAGTTTTCTCCAAGTTAACAGTTATGCATCTTGAATATTTTAGTAAAAAATTGTTTGTAACATAGTAAGTTCAAAGCATGTCCTCATTTCAAATACATTTATTTTGAGAGGAAGAGCATAACAACTATTTTATGTAATAAAACATGAAAGCATTAATTTCTTTCTGTTTTGATGTGGTGCTTTTAAAGTAGACCAGCAGTTTTAATCATAGAGGAAAATGCTATAGCATACATTATTTAAAAAATTGGAAATTTTCAGTTTCTTATAAATTCTGTCAATAAAACACTGTAGTATTCTTTTGATTCACATGTTACCATAAAATTAAGTCCTGTCATTCTCTGACAACTTATGTGCTTTTATACTCCTGCCCATTCTGGATGGCCTAGGAACTGTGTATTTTCCTGGTAGAGAATGACCTGAACTGATACAAAAGCAATGCACAGGTGTTGACAGACAATAAAAGGAATAAAAATCTTGATTGTAAAATACTGACATATTCATTAGGAAAATATTTGGCAGCTACCAACATGGACTAACTCTTTCTATTGAGATGAGATTGCTGAAAAACAGTGATAGCTTCTGAGTGATAGCTTCTGGTAGCATATGAAATGCTAAGGGTAGAGATGAACCAAACAAGGACTATTGATCATATTTGACTTGGTGGTTTTTATTTTTGTCTGGAAGGCCAAGTTGTTTTAGTCGTTACTGCTGTGAGGTGTATTTGCCACAGGATAGAATGAGCTGTGGAGTTCCTGGGTAGTAGCCCCATGAGCCCTCATTCAGTATCTCAATTCATTCTTTCATATTGCTGACCCCAGTTGTTCAGTACTGATCCTGCACGTCTTGATGTTTGCTTCATCTTGAGTCAGTAGATTATGATATAAAATTGTTAATTTACATAAGTGTGAGTGCAATATAATATTACATATAAATTTTTTATTCATTTGTTATTTGTCCTAATTGAAAGATGTTTGGGTCATTGTAAGTGACAGATTCTCAGTACCTCTACTGTCTGGAAGTGCTCTTTGACAAAATATTTTTGGTTCATATATGCTGTCCTTTATGTCCAGAATAAGAGCAGTCCTCCTTATTTCCAATGCCAGTACATCATTTAACATGTATGATTTATTCCAGTTACCAGAGCATGGGTATCATCTTAATGTTGTGGTCCATCTTTTTCAAGTTCCAAGTGGTTTAATTCGGTGTAAACGTGGCAAGAAGTGATTTATCACAGAATATGACTATGATAACTGTTTCCTCCTAATTAAAAAAACAGTCAAACTTAAGTAATAACTCTACAGTTTTCCTTTTTAAACACTGAGGGTGGAACTGTTTTTTCTGGAAGCACTCTAGTGGTCTTTACTCAGCACAGATGATTTAAAGTTACTCTTTTCACAGTAAGCACAGATGCATAGGATGCTGCTTTCTTCCAAATCCTCTTCCAGCCTAACACCTGGTTGTGATTATAAAATTACTGTCTTGTTCAGACTGAGTCCTTTGTGTTTTCATCACACAAGCCGCTCTAAAACTATATACCATAACACAGTTAAGGCTAATTCACCTGTAAAGTGATAATTGAACAAAATCTCAATTTTTCCATAAATTTTGTAGTGTTAACTTTTCAGTAAAATATTTTTGCATGTTTTTATCTGGTTTTCTGTCTCTTATAGCAAAGATACTGTTTGCTTTCTTGTTAAAATTTAAAAAATAAAACCAGATTTGTGTTAAGTGTACCATTATGTTGGCTTTGATCCCTGCTTGTAAGATGTTCAACTTCATAACCTCACATTTATAAGGGAATGATGTTCAATCTTTCTTTAGCTTTTTTTCATCATTTCACAAAGTCCCATGTGCCAAGCCAATCAGTTAAAGTACATTAAGTCATCAATTGAAGTGCATATTAAATAATTTATTTATGTTTAAATAGGGCCCTAAAGAAACTAAAGTACTTTACTGATCTGCATAGTTATTTTCTGTGCAACTGTCTGAAGTTGATTAGCAGCACAATGTCTTTTCCCTTTTATAGCACAGAGCAAAAGAACAGGAATGATTTAAATCACAAGTGCAGGGTGGTAGATCCAAGGCTGAGTACCCAACTCCAAAAACTGCTGTAAAATCATACTTATTTTTTTTATCTTATAAATCCTTTGATTTTTTTAAATGCAGCATTTTAGTTGTAGAATAGCTATTTTTTAAATTTATACTTAATACATATTTTTTAGTATAATAAAGAGGAACATAAAACTTTTTGTAAGAATTGCTTATTACAGTATTTTTTAACACTTCCATACTTATTGCTTACATCGGCACGAGCAGATCATAGTAAGTACTTTCAGTTGTGCTTTCCATTACATAAATGAATGACAGGACTGATGCTGCGGTATTGTGGAGGGCTGTGCTCTCTGATGCTAACCAAACAGCATACAACAGTATCCCTGTTAATGACAATTAGTAGCAGAACACAATGGCCTTTTTTTTAATATTATAAAAAGAACATTTGTAATATGAGAAGAGTGTTGAATTGGAATTTGTTTGAAAGGATTTAGTTTTTTGAATTGGAAGGGTAATGTGAGAATTTTTCAAAGGCTTTTGTCAGTGAGTATAATTTTAAAGTTTTCATTAACATCTCTTTAGCTGACATCTGCATTTATGACTTTGTGTAAGATGAGCATTTTCAGTAAATAAGAACAGAACTTAATGAATTCCCATCTGTCATGGAGATTGTTAATAGCATTACCTTAGCATCTGTTCACTTTTGAAGTTCTGATTGTGAATTTTGTAGACATTTTTTTCAAATTGTGTTCAAAGTTTGTTAATGTGTCTCCAGGTTTTATATACTTATTGTCTCTTAACTATTTTTTCAGATTTAAAAACCACTTCCTTAGAAAATACATAGCATTTATTTTCATAACAGACATGTCTTCTAAATCCCTGGCACTAAAGAGCGCTCTCATAAGAATGAATTCAGCAGTGTGTGATTGTAAAGATTAAACTGCAACAGCAGTTGCAGTAATTAATAGACTACAAAGCAGTGGGGTGCCATTAAAATGGGATATGGTAGGATACAAATGGTGTAATAGGGTGCATCTTTCTTGAAGATTAAATCCTTCTGTGAAAACCTTGTCAGTTTAAATGCTGTCAGGAAAAAAAAAAAAGGCAATAAGAACGTCTTGCTCAATTTTTGCTTAGTTGCTTAAAATACCATACAATTTAAGGACTTCTCTAGATGTCAATTTGCTTTCTTGACTTTTGAATTTATTTTAAACCCAAACAGTTCAATGTGTTTCTTTTTCTGCTTTTGTGACTGCAGTTTTAAATAGAAAATCTCGTGTTTTGCAGGCAATGCTCAGAGTGCGACCAGGCAGGTAGCAGTGACATGGAGGCTGATATTGCCATGGAAACCTTACCAGATGGGACCAAAAGATCAAGGAGGCAGATTAAGGAACCAGTGAAATTTGTTCCTCAGGATGTGCCACCAGAACCGAAGAAAATTCCAATCAGAAACACGGTAAACGATGATTGAGTTATTGCTTTGCAGCTTATGTTCATAATAATTTTAAGATGATTTATGTTTTGGACATTTTGAATTGTGGGATTTCAATGTGATTGATGTTCTGGTTTTGTTATAATTTCCCTTACCTTGGTTTAATGCTTTGTTACTGGTGTTAAATATATAGTTTTGTGAAAGTAAAACACTGGGAGACAGAATACTGAACTGAAGAGCTGTACAAGCTTTTCATTTTACCTGGGTCACCCTGTTAAATGCAGAAAAAGGGAAAGGTCAGTTTGCACTTAAACTTAGCCTTTATAGCTGTTCTTCACCTTAACAGTCAGGACACTTTGTTCTTGTATGCTAAGATTGAAATACGTGGAATTGCCAGTTACAGCTGTAAAGTAATTAGTCATTTCCTTAGGTACAGGCAACCTGCTGACTGACTGCACATTTTGAGACTTATCACAAGACTGTTATTTCAGTTTGTTTAGCTTCCTAGTCTTGCTAGTCACTGTATGTTTTCTCAAACTTTCCTGGTGGGTAGTTTATAGAGAAGCAAAAGCTCTTGCTTCCTATAGTGATGAAATATTTATTATCTTTCTTTCATTTGAAAGTAGAACCTTTTAATTAATCACTGTGCTCTAATCATTGAACTTTTAATTTCCTACTTGCTCATAAAATAAGTTTTTTCATGTGTGATGTGTTACATCATCTATAAAATGTACATAAAAATATCAAAGGGATTTTAGGTCCACTTTAGGAAATAAGTACCTCTGACCCTTTCAACATGAGTACTAATTACATACAAACTAGTGGTTCATCTTCCTATATACTCTGTAGTATTAGGAAATACTGAAACCGTTGCACTTAAGAGTTAGACATACTTCATCTCTCATGCATCACAACTTTATTTTCCTCACAGACCTTTCCAGACCTTTTATGCTTGTAGTAGCAGATACCATATTTAACTCTGCTGAGTGTATGCTGATGGGATTCAGCAAGTATTTTCCAGACCTAACTTTAAGTATTTGCTTTAATTGTATTGTAATACATTTGGACTGTTTGGGCCAAGCTTTGATTTACCCAATAGCTTCTTTTTCCAGCAGGAAAGTCATTCTTCTTATGACTAAGAACTTCTAAAAGTCACCCAGGACAAATCAGCTCAAACTATTAGCAGTGTGAATAATGTAAAATTAGGGGTTTTTGTAATAACTGTAGGGGAGAAACTTTTTTTCTTTCTTCTTCTCCTTGAGGGAAATTTCCTTTCTTCTCTATGTGTAAGAACAGGTGGGTTCTTAGTGCCGTCTGGGTTGAACTGACATCATGCTGTTCACACAGAAAGAAGAGTTACCTGGTGGACCTGGTTACTGAACATTTTTCATGTCCTCTCCCCTTTTTCTTCTTTCTCTCCCTTCCCATATTTTGTACCTAACACAGTGGTATTAGAGATGAGGAGTCATGATTATGGGATTAAGGAGAACTAAAAGTATTGCAGGAAAGACATTCATAGTAGCAATAGACAAAATAGTGATACAAGGAGTTGTACAGAAATTTACAGGAAGAGAAAACTGTTCTTTTCTCAGACCCATGTAATAACGGCCAAACCCCTTCTTCATTGCTAAACAGAGATATAAAATTGCTTTGAAGTATTCATCTCATGCTGAGACACTTATGTGCTACGTTGGTGCTGCCCTGGTGATTTGGCACCTCATGTTAAAGAGTATATCTACAGACAACATCGTATCTGTGTGTAATATAGAGATTAAATTTAGTATGAGTGGCACGGTACAGTATTGCACTGTGGAAAAATTACTGCTACCAGTCTAAGAAAGACTTTGTTCCTCTGCTTGAATTTTTAGGCTGTTTTAGAGTTCTCTCCACTCATCTATTTTTCTACAACATATGGATTTGTAAGATAACATCTTTGCTGCCCTGTGGACAGGGCTCCACTGTTAAAGTTTTCTTCACACTTCTAGTTGTCCCATAACTGACAGGATTTTGGGGTTTGTGTTGACAGATTTTTGTGCTTGTTCATTGTATTTGTTGTAGGTGGTTTTTTTTTTTTTTTCATTTCATTCAGTTTTGTACTTCTCTATGGAAACCTGCTGGGATTTCTTTCTCTGAACTAGGTTGAATTCCATCATTTCAATTATTTCATGATACTGGTGCACTTAGGCAAGATAATAGACCTCTGAAGACTTAATAGATACTTCCTGACAGTTTGGGATTCTTACTCGCCTTTGCTATGAACCTAAGAAAGCTCGTGTTAGATTTTGTTATTTGTTTGGGGTTTCTTTTTAGGAAGAAGATGCTTTAAATCATTAGGTCTGGGGCTGTCTGTATACCTGAGGGGAAAAAACCTGACATGTAAACAACTTCTCATATGAAGTTGTCTAACTACATGGAGAACATGTGTGGTGCATTTCAACAATGGTCAGACACTTGTTTGTTCTTTGTGTCCTAACTACTCAATTCCTTTAAAATAGTTTAAAGAAGAAAACATGAATGAACAATTGGAAACAATATTTATTTCACAATCCTATCTTCTCAGAGTTCTTTGTATCTCTGGGCATGTTTTATTCCACATAGTTTTATTTTGGAAGGAATTGGCAAGCCTGCTTAGCTAACAGTGTGCAGTCAGACTTTCTTACAGTTATTATCAACAAGTGCAGTTATAAGACTGTTGAATTCAGTGTTTGTTGCTCTTAAGGGAATTTCTATTTGTTTTCCATTAATTCATCTTGAGTTGATATAACTGAAAGAAGAGGTTTTTTTCCCACATACCTAAGAGAAAAGAATACATCTCACATATTTATTTCATGAGAGTGGTTTATTGTAGTGAACTCTTCAGTACTTTATTGATAGAAATTGTGGGTAAGCCCTAACACTTTATTTTGATAAAGTTTCATAAGGTGCTACTGATTACAATAATAGCTGGTATCTAAGACATTTTTTATGAATGCATAGGATGAACTAACCCTATATGCTAACTGTATGAAAAAAATGTTTCATGTTAAATTGTACTTTCAGAATTAATATTTTGTGATCAGCTTGTCCTGAAGCATTTTTATTTCCTATTTGGAAATACTGATTTTGGAGATGATAAAGGATACCCACTTTCATGTAAAATTGAATTTTTCTTCCCCCCCCCCCCCCCTTAATTTCTGCCTTCTTGGGGTGTACTATCAAGAGTAAAAGATCCTTTTAGAAGTATTCATAATTTTGCCATAGTTTCTTGTCCAGTCTAGTTATGAATGGGCACCTTAGTCCTGTATATTTTATTTTTTTTTGTTATCCTTCAAAGCACCTGAATTCATTGATGTTGTGGGTTTTCTTTTCCAGTTATAAACTGTTTTTTAAAGAAAATACTGGTGATCTTTTTTTCCAATTTAGCCTTGAAATTTCTTTTGTTTTGCATTATTGGAAGAAATAATGACGTCTAATTTTAACTTCTGCAACCTGTACTATTTCTGCTCCTTTTCCTTTATGAACAGTTCTTTTCAGGTTTTTCTCATTTGAAGTCTCCTAAGTACTTACTCTGACTTCTGTGTCAGGATCCTGTTAGCAGAGATTTAGAGTTGGATCCTTTGCATTATTTTTAATTTTTAGTAATGTTTTGAAAGCAAACCAGTGACAGAATCTAAGTCAGAAATACAATTTAATAGGAAAAAATAAAAGAAATGCAATAGTACAAAGGAAAAAAAAAAAATACAGACAGAGTCAGAATACAACCTGACACTGTTAGTTAGGGTGGTGGTAGCAGTCCAGATGAAGTGGTCATGTTGAAGCAGTGATCCCATAGAAAAGATCTGGTAGATCTAGTGAAATACTTCTTTCTTTCTTCACCACTGAATGCAAAACTCAACTGAGTCTATGATATGTCAATACAAACAAAGACTAGATCAATCATCTTGTCAAATACATGGATATGTGATAGCATAGGACTCCTTCTTTTGTCTTGAGGTCAAATTTAGAAAGGAGAGAAGTAAGATAAATTGATGCAACTCTTCCACAATGCTTGAAAAGAAGTGAGTATATCAGTGTTCTGCATATTGTGGTGGGTTTTTGGTTTTGTTATTTTTTTTGTTATTTGTTTGAGGTTTTGGATTGTTTTGTTTCATTTATTTTTTAAGAAAACAGGGGAAAAAAACTCCATACATGAAAGATCACTTCTTTTTGGTGTAGCAAAGGCATGAAGAAATTGATGTATTCCAGATGGTATTCCAATGATGTAAACATTGATATCTCTGTAAATAAAGGTAACTAGCATAATTATCACTTCTGTAAATAACTGCATTTAAATCCAGTTTTCCAGAAGAAAATCACTTGTTTTAGCAACATCTTCAAACTGACTTTTTCTGTCCGCCTTCTCCTCCTGCTTGTGTTTCAGTTCTCCAAATGTATGTGCTTTGGAGGAGATTAGGGTTAAAAAGATTAGAAAGCAATCATGCTGGTGGTTCTCAGATTTGATTGTGGCCAGATTCAGTGATAGTATAGCTTCACAGCAGAAATGTTGCAAAATTTTTGCTTTTCTAGAAAATAAATCATAGAATTGTTCAGGTTGGAAACCTGATCAAGTCCAACCGTTAGAAAAACAGAAGTTCCCATGAGAATGGAAACTAAAGAAAAAAAGGAGGGAAGTTGTAATTCTGTGTAATCAAGCTTCATGGTCAATTTGTGTCTCTTTATAATCATGATTTGATTTACTGCTATTTCTTTTTGTCTAGCAGTTCCTTCTTTATTACTGCCAGCTTTTCAGAAAATAAAATAATTATTTCAGAGACAGACATTGAACAGTAGTGATATTTATCATTTGAGGTAGTCACTTTGATCTGTATTGAACGAGTGTGATGTCTATGTAGCTGTCCTTACCTTTACATAAAATAATTTTATCCCTGTGTGGTGCCATTAGTGGAATATTTTTTTCCTGCCTTTTAACAAAGCAAAGGAGGTCAAAGGGATTTTTTTCTGCAACTGGCTTGACTGTAATATTTTCGTTGTCAAAGGAAGTTTAT